GCTCGTTCGGGCCTTATGAAATATGCATCGTATCTGAATATACCTCGAATGAGAAATTCATGTGTAACCAGCGTCGTCACTGTGAGAGTATTGTCCCAGAATTTCTAAAGGGCCCTGCTAGGAGAGACGGTCGTGCGAGGATAATCGGTCTACGTGGCGAATTATAGCTGTAGGTCCCAGAACCGGGCCCGAAAGGTACCTGGTTCTCCCTTCGGACTAACTCCTGTCCGAATCGTACTGTCCTAGCCTCCCGCGTAATCCCACTATCGGGTAACGTATAAGGCCCCAATTGAGAAGGGCCTTACCGTCCTGTAAGTTTAAGTTAATTCACGAACGCCCATACACATACATAAAACGTGCTCGCACTGCGAATTAAGATGTCTCGGAGGAAACAGCCAATTTACCGGCCCAAGATATTGCGTAAGGCCCAATGCTCGTATCCATGTCCTATCGTGCTCTCTCGTACCACTCGTCATGCCACTCTGCATAATTAACTTAATTTCATGGCATTACTGCCCCCTTTGGATCTGCAAGAGATACTGACAATGTATACGGCACGTATCGACACCACTTCTCCATGTGTCTCCTTATAACGACTCCTTTTCGTTTATTCGTTATTCAGTGGTAACGCGTCATTAGCACCATACGCGTAAGACCGAATTTTTATATAAATTTTTACATCCAGTGGATGTATATATATATATATATATTTTTTTTTCGTAAATATATATATTGAAAAAAAATTCACATGTAAAATTTTTCAAGCTTCTCCGAATACCCAGGATAATAACACGTGCATGGTTGGTCGTTGTATCCACTGTGTGTCGTTCGAGAAACAGGTATCCAGGATGGTACCTGCGGTCTCTCTATAGTCCAGCTGGTGAGCCAGCTGCCCACATCCTGTCCCGACCCGAGGAGGATGTTCCACCTTCTTTCCTCCTTTTCCCGTTCCTCTTGATCCCTGCAAGTACTGACTCTTACTCCATTATCCTTCGGCACTCAGAGTCACTTATGCAAGCGCGTATATGTATATGCATGAAAAAAAGGACATCCGGGAGCTCGTCTGGGCCCTATACCAATGTGGGACCAAGATGGTGGACAGGTGCAGCCGTTGACTCGGCACGCGACTTCGCACGCCTTTTACGCATTAAAATCGTGCGCAGCCCAGAAACCGGTGCCCGGTGACGGCGAAATGCACCCTCGGCATATAACGCGTGCCGTCGGGATCCCGATGTAATCGGTATACGCAATGCTAAACTGTTAAACGCGCCAGGTTACCGATAAGATCCGATACCGCGAATCTCATTAATATAATGAGAATAATTAAGCGGTCGTGATTAATTTTTTTTTCTTTTTTTTCAATCGGTACAACAGCTTTTGATATTTGATTCCGTGAGATGGCGAAGGAGAAAAATTTTGAAAAAAAAAAAAGAAGAAATTGCACGCCATCGAACCCTCGTACGTTCATTCGTTTGTCTGGCTGAAAGGGCAGGTTAAAACGAGCCTTATTGGAACTTTATACAAAATCATATCCTTATTTGGATTAAGGGCAGGTGAGACAGGCTGTGCACCTTTAAGACCAAATTTACATGTACCCATGTCTTGGGTATTTTTTTTTTTCATGATACTCCTCAAGTCCTTGACTGTCGGTTATCAGCTGCTCGGGATATCGTCTCCTTCTTATTTGTAGCATCGAATGCGGGCTTAATTTATTATCTGTTAAAAGCTTAACTTCGACTAGGTAGAGTCTATCGGCCGAAGAACCAAGTCCTAACAGACCCTTAAACCAATAAGATTTACTTCTGACCGTTTCTTGGCACCTGCGCGGCGCGTGCTACGAAGATGCATCTGCCGCTGCACATGCACGTGCATCCTGCGCATGCGCCCTTTCCTACGCGACTGCCGATGGCCCGTGCGATTTTCGATTGCCGATCGTCGGTGCGAGTTAATGATTTTCTTCGATGATGTTATTAGGGACAAGGAAGCTGAGAAAAAGAGAAAATAAATCAATCCTTGCCGTCGTTAAACTTAACGCTGTAACGTTACTTGATCGCACGTTATAAACACCCGGTAGATTCGACACTGCCAGCGCATAAGAAGGTAGGAGTCGGCGTACCGTTGCGCTGCATAGGAAAAGCCAACGATTTCTTGCGGCACAACAATGCAGCTCGGCGATTGCGTTGCGAAAGTCTTTTGCAATTTCTTGTAATTTATAGTTCCCCCCCGGGGTAGGAGGGGGGGGGGTGTGGTGGTACTCGCAGGACTAGAAGACACGCAGATCGACAAACTCGCCAAGTACGCGAGTTTCCTTTGTCTGGTAGATAATTTGTGTGGATTGAAAATAATTATTTTTCGAAAAAATTATTTTTTCCAACTATCGGACTAAATTTCGTCGTGGTAAAAAATTTTTTTTTCGAAATTTATCGCCAACTCAAAAAATGCCCCCCTGGCTGTTTTACGAGGCTTCTTTCGACCGACCACGTGTCTTTCCTGTTTTCGCGTATATCCGTGTATGCACGTGCAATTCACTCACCGTGTTCCTATCTTGCAATCGGCCTATTCGAAAGTGACTGCAACGATGTGCAACGATGTGCAGCTGCCTTATCTTATACGTAATTTACCTGCATATAGCCTTGCGACACCGCGCATAAAACCCGTAAGAGTTTTCACGAACCGACCATAGCGTTTCCTACGAGCATATTGATTTCTTTATTTAATAAAATGCCCCCACGCTCTTTGCGTAATCGCACCGTAGAGATAGTTTTATCAGTGACGCATACGCGCGCGCGTACACGTGAATGAGCCTGGGACTTTTCTATGTGGGTGGAAAGTTAGTATGTGGGTCACCGAGGAAATCGTGTGTGTTACGTCATTTTTTTTGTCTTGCAGACCACACGTGGGCGCCGCGACGCGAACCTTTGATAAAATGCAAGGGGATCGTGTGTCTATAGGGTGGTACAAGAATTATTGATTTTTTTTTTTTTTTTTTTTTTTTTTTTTTTTTTTTTTTTT